GGAAAGCAGTGGGACTACAAGCATTCATCGTACAATTTTATTCGAGTCACTTCTCTGGATATTCGGTAACAAACTGTCACCAAGCGATTCAGTGATTTGATGGACTCTTCGGGGAGGCGAATTTTCAGAAACTTCATGCATTTATTCCGCTTGATGTACATTCGGAAATGTGAATATGTGAATATAATATGATGGAAATATAGGATGAATGAATTGATGGTACCATATTATTCTGCACAAAACAATGTTGTTCTTGCTTTATGCGGTTTCCCGATCATCTATTTCGTGCTTGTCTATTGAACTTTAGGTTGACCTCGATCGATTTAGGTATTCATTCAATATTGTCGCACTTTAGTATTTCCACTCACTGTCAAACTTTAACACACATACAAGGACACTGATTGTTATTGTCTATTGTGATTCACAATCGTCGAAAAGAGAATTTCTTCGCTGTATTCTTTGTTTTAATTTATTATTATTATGTCATTCTTGTGCCCCTATCGACCTTACATTCTGTATGTATTTAATTGACAAGTGAAGTTAACTGTCTATTATTCCATCTTGTATGTCAACCATACTTTCTTCTACCTGCCAGAATACTGTCTCTAACATAATTTTATTCTGTTGACTAGCATTGTATGGCAACATTAAGTTGTTTCTTATCTACTGTGTTTACTAAGTCACTGTCAATATTTTTAAAAGATACACAGAATAATCTGATAGTTGGCGTCATTGCTAGACGGCACTCTTTGGAAATCTATCAGTCCACAATGTCGTTGTCTATCTAATTCAACTACAGATTTATCATTCAGTATAAGTATCAAGTAGAAATATTAGTTTGTTAGTTTCTTTCTTTCTTTCTTACTACTTTGGGATTTCTCAACAGTTACTTACTTCTTACACACTGATGAGTATTACTGGTAGGCAGGATAACTAGATCCAGAACTTCCTATCTGATAAGCCTTTTTTTCTCATCTGACGCCAGAATAGGAAATGTATTTATTTATTTTATTTATAAAATCATACGATTGACAAACAATAGTAATGCACAAAGTTACTCTGTTGTTCGGTAAGATAGATAGAATCTTATTTACATAACATACAAGTTTTGTGTTTTTTCAAAATTATCAGATCTACCTCAAACTTTTAGATAAAAAAAGAACACAGAATGAAAGTTTTCTTTCGGTAAGTTGAGCAAGTAAATAGAAAGGAAGAGTATTGTAAAGATAAGTTAAAAGAAGGAAATTATTTCTCCTTGAGGAAGAGAGAGAGAAAAGAATGAATTCCTAGTGTTTACATATATATAATTGTACTATTAAGTGAATTTTAAGCGAAGACTCAATTTCCTACTGATCTAAAAGTAGGCAGACTACACTTTCTGATTATTTATACCACTTTCGACAGAAACAAGTAATGTTGAATCATATTGAATAAGAAAGAATATTTGCCAGGTAGAGATTTTGAAATAATAGAGAAGATTTATAGCTGAGGTCGATGATTTGCAATTAGTAGTGTTTACTGAGCTGGTTGGTTTAGTTACAGAGTTTTCATCGTCCTTCTGGACAATATCCCCCTTCAGCGCAAGTTCTAGCATAAAATGAACTCATTCAAATTCTCCATGAATGATAGAATTGTGTCTCCTGGCAACCATCTTCGTGACTGGTAGTCAATTTACATCTCTATTGATTCAGTTAGAATTCGAACTTTCTCGTCACATGATTTACTTTTATTAGTTGTTAAATTTGGTGTATATTAATAATAATAATTTACTTTTTTCCAAAAAACAGTACTTGTGATACAGAATGGAATTTTCAGCATTAATCACAATATTGCATCTAATTTCCTCAAATTATATATAAAATTAATCACATAGAAAATTTTCCACATTTACAACAGGGGTAATGTCAAAAACATGCAGCATATAAAATGGAAATAGTAATAATGATAACAGCTAAGGTAATAATAATAATACAAGTGAAAATTGCCGTGGGCTTGTTTCACACAGTATTGTCAATGCGGTATAGAAATCCTAGCATGTTTAAAAATATTGAATATAATGTTCTCTTTACATGATATGGTGAGGGTAAAAACAAAGATTACAACAGTCATAGAGATAAGTTGGTGTTTGCAATTATGAAAGTAAAACAAAGAAGCAACAGGAACATAAATATAATAGAAATAATAAAAGTAAAACTTGAAGGTATATAAGGATGGATGGAGGAAATTGTTTATTTACTAGATGAAAAAGGTTAGTTAATTCTTGCCTGACACTATTTTCATCACATAAAATACGTGCCAAGTATGGTATCATAGAATTTTTGTACTTAGACATGCGAGCATACAGTTTTATGAAGTTATTTCTTGTTCTACCTGAGGAGGAGATGCAAGGTGAACGGTGAGTTTGTTAGTCGCTGATTCACTTGAGTACCAGGCTTCTAGGAATTCTTTGTTTAAAATTTCAACATTATCCCAATCAAATTGATGTCCATAATTATCTACATGCATTGATATGAAAGAATATATATCATCATGTCATTTTACAACTAATTTGTATTCCTGGATTCTGATTCGAAGGAGACGCCCACTTTGGTCGTTGTAATGTCGACTACCAGTCATGAAGATGGTTACCAGGAGACGTAGTTCTATCGTTCATGGAGAATTTAAATCAGTTCACTTTATACTAAAAGTTGCGCTGAAAATGTTGTCCAGAAGGACGACGAAAGCTCCACAGTAAAATCAGCCAGCTCAGAGAACACTACTAATTGCAGGCATAGATTGGTTTAGTGCGTCGGTAGTACAGCGGTAGGACGCCCGTGAACCTTGCATGTGGTCCACGGTTCGATCTCCAGACGACGCACTCCTTTACCTCGCTAGGCCAGGAATAAGATTCGTAAAGAGGGAAGGTTGGGCATGAGGCTAGCAACACCATTCCGTAAAAATAAACACCACTGCTACCGAAACTTGAAGTCTCTAGCTTGAAGCCCTGTATTCCACTGGGAACGTAAGGGAATAAAGAAAAAGAAGCTTGGTTTGAAGAGTAGCCTTCTCGTTTAGCATAAACACTAGTTTAAAGAATTCACAAACATTTAACTTCATTTATGAAGTTGAATAAAACAAAAATAAAAGCTAATGATGCCTTATCTGTGTTAAAAACAGAAATCTGGCCTCAAGAGTTTGACTGCAGTCGCTTTAGCGAGTTTGAGAAGCCTTGAAGTGTATTGTTTATTGACTATCTTAAGCGATTTCAAGGTGTCTACTGCATGTCCCATATCAGTGGGATACTTAGCCATTCTACTATGGAACCATCTGTTTCCTTGAAACGTAGGCTTCTGGTACACGTCTAGAAAGTTTGTGTCCTTTGAGTTTCCTTTATTGTAAGCGCTACCACAGATCCGTGTGTATTTGTATGGAAAATTACAGTCAACATGAAAGGGATACATATCGATGTTAGTACCAGAGAGGATACTATTCGATACACGGAAACCAACCTGGCTGAAGGATAGGTTCTGGCTAATGTCCACATCAAGGATCTTCATCACTAAGTCACTGGCAGTCTCCTTATTACGCACATCATGCTATCTTTTCAAGTACTTTACAAATTCTTCTGTGTATATACTTAACATTTTAAAGACTGTATACGACTGATGATGAAATAAAATGGTATCACCTTATTCTGCTTCAGCTGTATTATTTTGGCTTACTCCAGTTTATATAGTGTTGGAACTTACATAGAATCAAGTGGATTTTTAATCACCTCAGTCGAAAACTCCACATTGTTAATAGCTCAAAAAATCTATAAAAGACAAAGGTGAACACAGTTACAGTTTCAGTTCTGCATGCACGAAGAGGAATCCCAAAAAGAAATTGCCTTCCTAGATGTCCTCCTTGCAAGAAAACCAGATGGTAGCATAAAGAGAAATTTGCATAGGAAAAGTTCATGAACAGGGCAAAATACACATTTTCACAGCTTTGTTCCTCTCCAGTGCAAAAGAAATTCAGTAAAGACCCTCAGCCACAGGGTTAGAGCTATATGCTCAGAAGAAGTAACTGAAGATGAGCTAAGCATTGTATACGATACCTTGATTGAAAATAGCTATCCTGACAAATTTATCAAGAAACACATGATAAAGAAAGAGGAAAAGGACTACTCACTATCTGTAAACAAGAAGCCTTTATAAATACGATTGCAATTCAAGGGCGATATGCTTAGAGAAACAATTATGAAGAAGTTAAGAAAATCAGTTCAAAGAGCTTTAAATTCTGGCAAACTAAAAGTCTTATTTTCTACACGAACACTGGTGATTCCTCGATTGAAAGATGAAGTACCTAGACTAGCCACTTCCAATTGTTTCTACCAATTCAACTGCACTTGTAGAGTGAGTTATATTGGCCGTTGCTCTAGGAACTTGATTTTTCGTCCTCACTCGGCAACATCTACCTGTGTGGCTAAGTAAATGTGTAGTAAAAACCATTAACAATTCGATATTAGACCATCTGGTCCAAACTGGCCACAAAGCAGCCAGCATTGAAGAGTCCTTCTCTGTCATCTACCGGGTGCCTAATAAATTGCCAAAATCATCCAGGTACCGCATGCTCCAAACAGCAGAGGCTATTGCAATTCGCCTCAAACAACCAGTGCTCTGTGTGCAAAAGAAACAAGTCCAGCCGCTACTACTGCCCTGGCCGGCCCTCAGTAGAGACTATAAATTCATGAATTTGTAATATTATCTTTCCTAATTTTTCTGACATTCAGTTTCTTGTTATGTTGATGCTATTGAACTGTAATCTATTGATATTAATATTGATTCGATGTTATTTACACAACATTAATGTTGTTAATAACACTAATTCATTCACTATTATCTATATATGTTGGTAGAACCTAATGATGAAGTCATCGAAAAGAGTATTCTTTGTTCAGTAACCATTCTTTTGAAGATTTGAGTTACTTTATTTATTATTTTTTATGTCTTTTTTGCTTCTTTTATATATTTCCAAAGTGCAAATCAAAATGGATCAATTGCACCACGTAATTTTATGCATAAAAATTGTCCAAAATTGAATCCAAGAGAAGAGTCATCCTCACTTGTTTACCTTGAAGAAACAAATGAAAACTGACAGATTGAATATAAGTATAACTTATTTTTATCACTAATTTAAACAAAAATAAGTACTGATGAATTGAACAGAAATGTGTAAAAAATAAAAAGAGAAATGAATGAAGTATTTAATTCACACACACACACACTTACTTTCACTTTCAGTTGTATGTTACTTTTACCATATTGAGTTTCACAGGTAGATGCCATTCCGTTCAAACCTTTATGTAATTGATTATTGAGTTACAGTTAATTTTAGATTTTTACGAGTTGATCACGATGGTGGTTTTTTGGCTTCCGTCGTTTTCAGTGCACACAGAATGAAGAGGAAGTGAAGAGCCATTAAGTAGAGGAGTGGCATTAGTAGAAAGAAGGCAAGATAATAGAAATGAAGATGAAGACAAAGGTGAGTGAGGATTAGAGAGGTTTCGCGTGCACTTGGGATTGTGAGGGCGATTGTTACTTCCCGACTGCCCACACCGTGGAAGTTGGTTGCGTGACCGCAGAGCCCAGGGGACAACTGCTTGAGGCCGGTCACACACGGCCTGTTTTTGTTTGTTGTTTTTCATTTGGTGTGTCTCAGTAGCGTATTTATCACTTCTGCCCTGTGACACGGCAGCAGAAAGCGCGGTCGTTGTTAATCCGGGCCCCGACCGATCCGGCATGATATTTTGTGATTTATTTGAAGTCATAGGATTGGATTGGGTAACTGCTTTTTGTCTAACCGCTATCCAAACAACCTTTCTGGATTCTTGGATTGATATCAGTTAGAGAAGCATTGAAAACCAGGGAGTATTGGACAGCTGTTTCATCCTAGTTTGGGAATCATCGGCAGTACGCACTCACTGCCAGGGTTCGAATCCAGGACCTTCCGGTTACAAGGCAAGCTGGCTGGTATACCATTCAGCCACTGAAACCCGATTCAATGGCTCATGAATTCTAACTTCTACCAATTCGTGATTTAGCGCGACCCCAACCATTGACGTAGGTGGGACATCCATCCTCACACGTGGCACCCGGATGAACCTCACTGGTCACGATCTCTCCCTAGAACTCCAGGAAACTCCATCCTGTAGAAAGTCACTAGCGAGCATCAGATTAATATTCAATCCGTGATCAACTCGTAAAAACAAAAGTAATCCTTACAAACCAAACTAGAGAATTTTATCTTTCAAATGACGATCTTTTGTCGTGATAATTTTATTACATTATAAAATGGGTGGTTGCTGTAGGACAATCCATAAAACTTTCTGAAGTCATATATACAATAAAGTGTGCCAAGATGATGAAACTGTTGGTTTGCTAACCACATTTCAAAAACTGACCTTGTAACCAGAAGCTCCTGGGTTTGAACTCTGGTGGTGGATGCGTACTGATAAAGAGTCCCAAACAAGGCTGACGAAACAGCTGTCCAGTACTCCCAGCTGGTTTTCCAATGGTTCTCTAACAGATGTTAGCTCATCATGAAATCCACCAACCAATATAATTTCGTCAGTACTAAGAGCCAGATGACATGAAGTTGATTACTGCCAGGCAATCAATAAATCTACATCATATTCTTTCATCGATAGATTTTTAACGGTAATCTAATAAGTTACAAAATTATAACCTTGAGAAACTCAGGTTATACACGTCATTCAGCATTCAATAGTCTGAATTTAAGCATAAATGATTCTAAATTACAATGTTTGTGCCTTGATGCATCAATAAGATTTTAAGAGAGAAAGAACGAACATGTTTGCAGGATAATACGAGCTCGTTTTATTTCGTGGATTCTCATCAACTGCATACATCCTAAACAAAATCAAATTATAGGTTTCGAGAATGTTGTGGAACATACTTTTTCATAAATACTTTGAGTTATAGATAGAAGGCATAAGGAACATAATTCCAGAATTTTATGTAGGTAGACAGATTATTCGGTGTCAAAAACAACTAATTATATATAGTGGAGTTAGATAAGAGGGGTAAGAGTTCAGTTCAGATTTCTATTGGAAAACAACACAGATTGGTTAGAGGCATATTACTGGGTCAGGGTCAGAGAACAGAGTGAATTTACACATCTTGTGGCGGGGAGTTTAAGAGGGTGGGGGTGAATAGTGAAGTAACATTTTTAACTTAAACAGACAAACAATTAAGTAGATTTAGAAACTTGAAGGTCAAAATTGAATAGAGTGTTACGTAACAAGACAAACACACAGACATACTGACAGAAAGGCAAAACAAAAATAAAATAAAGTTAGGGTTACCAAGGTAGTGAAAGATTAATCACACTATCTTTCTGTATACAGAGGTCTGGTAGAAGTCTCTTGATAGCAATGGCTTCTGCGAAGCGAAGTAGTCGTGGGTTTCTTTGTGTATTGATTATTTTGAAGGCTTGGCTAATTTCTACTGTGTGTCCTGTGTCAATTAAATGTCTGGCGATTGCACTCGATAACACTTTTCTTCCTTTTGTACGGAGACTCTTAGGAATGTGCTCAGAAAATCTAGTAGATGCTGTCCTCTCAGTCCTTCCTATGTACTTGCTTCCGCAGGTGCACGTGAATTGGTAAATGCAGTTGGAGTTGACGTGAGTAGGGTACTCATCTACTTTTGACTGGGTTAACGAGCACACAGTGTTGTGAAATAGGATCAGTCTGGAGGCTGGAAACGTTCTTTTTAATGCACCTGTGATTCTTTTTTGTGTTCTTGTGGATACGTCTTCCCCTTTGTACGCTAGGCAGATGAAAACTGGTTTCTTTTCAACGGTGTCAGGTTTCGGTTTGTGTACTTCTTCATTTCTATACTTTAATATGAACTTTCGAGGATATCCATTCTCGATAAAGTTCTTTTCGATGATCGCAAGTAAGATTTTACACTAGTGCCTTCTGTGCACTAAAATGAATTGAACAACTGCTAAATACACAGAGTACTGAAAATAGTTGTTTCGTGCTTTCGAGGGATTCTTCAATGGTGCATGCCTAGAACACCAAATCAAGCATTGTCGGATAACACAGACCTAAACTCAGATAGCCTGTGTTTTCCAACTCCTACTGGTTCGAAAGAAGTCTGCATTTCTAAGTCACGTCTGTGATTTAATGGTAATTGTGCTTGGCAGATCCAGGTCTAATTCCCGACTGACTCGCTCATAAGCCTGGTCTAGTCTACTAGTCTGTAGTAAGCCAGGAGAAAAAGGAAGTCTGGGAGTGGGCCCCTTAATCCCACCCTATGAAAAACGCACCAGTGCTTCTGAAAATTCAAAGCTTGAAGCCCTATGTACCACCACTCAGTAGTCAGAGAAATGAAAGAAAGTCGCCTCATTTGGAATGTTTCAAAATGAAGTTTAGCCAACAAAGAGCACAGTTTGATTCCACTTAAGACACAAAATATATTGACTGGTAAGCTACCGAAATGATAAAGGTATCACAATAATTGATCTTTAACATTCTTATTGAATTATGCAGTAGCATAATTATCAATAACTTTGCGGTGTGGGAACTATAGTAAGCAGAGTAATCAATCAGTTACGAGAAAACAAGCGCCTCTGACAGTCTGTTTATCATTAACCAGAGCATAGTTCATGTGAACCGAAATTAGGAAACAATAATTCATGCTGACATTTGTAAAAAATTATATTTGTAAAATATCAGCGAGATTGAAATGAGTAATTCCAACGTTTCGTTCAGCAATCTGGTCCGAACTTCTTCAGGGAAATTAATCAAAATTAACATAACAAAGGTTTATATATAAAAAGGAACATCACTTGATTTGTAAAAATTTGTCCAATCATGAGTCATTCAAAAATGTATCAACAAGTATAATAAACAAAATTTTTATGAGCTGTGATCAAAATTTGACCTCGGACTTACAAATATTGGTCTACCTTTGTTAAACACATTAAACAGAGTGTGTATGTGTGTGTGGGTAAACAGTTGTAAAACATTTGTTAACGTCTCCATAAGAAGATATGGACAGTCGAGAATTTTGACCAAGTAATATTAATTAGTGATACGTATCCATTTTTATTTATTAATCAGGATTTCCTATGCATCAGCTAACAACACCTTCATGTCTGTTCACACTGTTAGTATCTACAATTTTATGATTAGACGTATTTTCAAAATTATGGTGTTTAGGATTGGAGTTTAGTAGAAGCACCCTGTCGGACTTATTGCTTTGCCTTCTTTCTGAAGATTGAGCTGCTTTATTCGACCTACTGGAGTTGTCAGGTGACTCGACAGCTACGGATGTTCCTTTTTATATATGAACCTCTGTTATGTTAATTTCGATTAATTTCCCTGAAGAAGTTCGGACCAGATTGCTGAACGAAACGTTGGAATTACTCATTTCAATCTCGCTGATATTTTACAAATATAATTTTTTACAAATGTCTACTTCTCACTCAGCGCCCAAATATTCTATAACTATTCGGTCAAATCTTGACGACAGTTCATTTGAATTATTTTGCAATCGAATTAAATTAACAAAGAAACTGTGTAACTGGCACAATTATCGTGTTTTCACTCTCCGTTGTCTGCAACGGAATGCATATCCTAAATCCGTAGCTGTCGAGTCACCTGACAACTCCAGTAGGTCGAATAAAGCAGCTCAATCTTCAGAAAGAAGGCAAAGCAATAAGTCCGACAGGGTGCTTCTACTAAACTCCAATCCTAAACACCATAATTTGAAAATACGTCTAATCATAAAATTGTAGATACTAACAGTGTGAACAGACATGAAGGTGTTGTTAGCTGATGCATAGGAAATCCTGATTAATAAATAAAAATGGATACGTATCACTAATTAATATTACTTGGTCAAAATTCTCGACTGTCCATATCTTCTTATGGAGACGTTAACAAATGTTTTACAACTGTTTACCCACACACACATACACACTCTGTTTAATGTGTTTAACAAAGGTAGACCAATATTTGTAAGTCCGAGGTCAAATTTTGATCACAGCTCATAAAAATTTTGTTTATTATACTTGTTGATACATTTTTGAATGACTCATGATTGGACAAATTTTTACAAATC